TTATGCTCTCATCCACGTTGCACGCTACTCGGCAGCTGGCGCACGGCTTTTTAATTGCTCGTTTGCCTTGCAATCATCGCACGCCGTAAATGTTTTCGTTTATTGTTGCCGTAACACTCGCTCACGTTGCGAGCCAACGAAATATGGCAGACACTCTCGTCTCTAATTAAAGCGATGCGATTTTAATGCGATTAGCGAACACACTTTACCCAGTTGCAAATCCTTGACGCACGCTTTCAATTGAATTATGGATGAAACTGAGCGCAGCCAGATAATAAGGTTCTATTTCAGTTAACACTGCCATACAATTCAAATCCCGCTTTAAAAATTGCGACTAGATTAAAAAGCGATTTGGTATTTGATTTTATTTTTGTTTTAGATAACAATTCTTCTTACTCAACATTATTTTAAATATAAGGTATAACAATATATAATAAATAAAATATAAAAATAATGAATAAAAGTCAAAAATAAAACTGTAAAGAAAAGATTTCATTTAACAAACTATGGAAATAAAATAATACATATGTTTTATGTTAATTTTGAATCCGATACATATTCTATATTATTAGGAATGCCTTATAAACATTTTTTTATGTGCTATATTCAATATTATTACATTTATATTTACTTTTTGTGACCGAGTCTATTTTACCAACAGCTGCTAGAATATGTTTTATAAATCAGTTTGTAATTCGCAAGTAGAAATAATTGTCTAAGCTGCCAACTCTTTGTTTCTGGGTTTTATAAATTAATTTTGAATGGCGCTTCAGAAAATGTGCATTTGCATACGAAACTCGACTAAAACTTTGATTAACTTCAGGGCAGCATTTGAATCTGGTTTACCCGGTAATTCCTTCTCCTTTTTTTTTCCTTTCCACTGAGCGGCTCCAGCCAAAAGGAGCAACGGCAAAAATACAGCTGGTGAAATGCAAAACAAAAGCTCAACTTCAATTCAATGCTAGGAAAAATAGACAGACACGGAGAGAGAGAGAGAGTGAGTGAGAGAGTGTGAGTAACAATTGATAAAAACTGAAGCTAGCTGTTGGCCAGAGTCGGATGATATGGTGTATGGGGGACCAGAGGAGCTTGGCGTCGGGAAATAGATATTTCGCTAGCAGCTGCTGCACCATTCGATGATAACTGAAAATTTATTTTCTAACTGACTGGCATCCAATATATTTGAATTTCGAGAAAAAAAAATAAATAAAAATAAAACAAAAGAATAAAACAAAAATATGGTAAGCAATTTCGTTTTCAGGAAGGAGAATCTGATGCTTACCTTGTTTGCCACGCCCAATTTAGTTTCGTCATATCAAAATATTTGCTCTCCCGAACACTGTTGTGGTTGTAGTTGTTATTGCTGTTGTTGTTGTTGTTGTTATTGTTGTCAACATTTTGGGGGCTTGTGGGCGCTTAACGCGTATAATTTATCTATGCATATGTTTTGAGTTGACAACTGCAGCCAAACGTGAACAGGAGAGCCCACATAAATCACAAGCCCCTGCTCAGACACACCCCCACATCCACACGCATATTCTCTGACACTCACGCAAACACACACATACACAAATACACACACACCCCTTTCGTGTAACGGCAATTTTCGCCCTCGCGCTTCACCTTAAAAAAAAGGCAATTGCTGTCAATTTATTTTCACGTGCCTATTATAAGAAACGGGATTAGAATTGTGGGTTGTGCACTTTGGAACTAAATCTCTCTGTCGACTACACGATATTATCGAGTTCCTGTGAATTGTTTTATTATAATGCTCAATACACAATACTCAACACACATTTTAAATGTTCGTTGACGATCACTTAGGATACATACATATTTAAGCCTTAAGTTTTTAGAATTCATATTCTTATATTCTGAATACCCAACAAATTTTTCACAATTTTTCAGTTCCATAACTTCGCCAGTACTAAATTTATTTATTTAAGCAAAGCTTTTAAGTCTCTTTTGGTCTCTGGATGAATACTGTATTTAAACTTGGAAACACTGTTTTTGGTCAAAATTCATATTCAAATCTCCTGTATTGGTTATTTATTTAAGTAAAGGATATAGCAATAAGCTATCCATCTATTTAAAGCCATTATAATATGCCTACACTTAAAGTTTTCTTAGTTATGCCAAGTCTATTGATGAAGGAGGCATTTTACTGATTTTTAAAAATAGACCCAATAATAAATCGTTTCGTATTTTATCTATATTTAAATAAGTATAATGATCCAATTGCTATTTTAACTGCAAATTGGAGTCGGTTAAATCGTTAGGAACTGGCCGTTCACTGGCCATATGTTTGTTTGCCCCACTTCTGGGCAAAACCAAATCTCAGCTGAGCGCAAATTGTACAAAAGATGACGTCGATGGGCGGCAGTTGGTGGAGAGAGGGGATAACATGTATGACAGCAGCATCATCGTTATATCGATGGCATTCACATGTTTAGCACACAAACGAAATGCCAAAGCAAAAATATGCATACAAATCTATCTATCTATGCGTATTGATAGCCAAACCGAGTCGACAGTTGCGTGGAGTGGCAACTGGGAGTCCAAAACTCAAATCTGACGACTGTTCCACATTTTGTTGTGCATGACAAGCATTGTGTGCCAGTGGTAGTATGTGTGTGTGTGTGTGTGTGTGTGTGTGTATCGAATATTGTGTCTATGGGTCTGTGCTCTCTGACTCTGAAATCTGAATGCTGTTTGTTCGTCCGTTTCGTGGTGTCCCAATCAATTGTCCAAATGTCCAAACTTCATTTGTTATGCGCATCACAAAAATTGAAGCAAATCATTTTGCCAATCGCATTTTGATTTCGAATGTCAGTGACTGTGCTGATATTGGGCGCGTGCAGGCGTTGGGGGTGGTGGGCTGCCATTGTCCCGAGTCACCCCACAATTTATGTTAATTTTTGTATACTTGCCGCCAGCGGCATCTGAAATTATGCAATGCCTTTATTAATTTATGACAAACCCAATGGGGAACTCGTGCTAGAGATGGAAACAATAATTGTATGTGAGCAATTTCGCGTATTTTGAGAAGCTTCTCCATCTAGGCTATAAGCGTAAGCATTAATTACTGTCGCTTCGGAAACTGGACTCCCATTACAAATGACGTTTCCATAAGCAACTGCTGTTTGTAGTTAAAATAAATCTAATACTACTTCATTATGATTAATTTTATAGAATTTAAAATAATTCAAATTGAATCCAATTGAAATTGATGTACTTCAACAAAAGCTTTCTTAAACCTTGGTAATTTTAATCAATTTTATTTATTATTCAGGTTCAGTTGTAATTCCAATTAACGTTGCAAATACATTAATTTTTTTTAAAACGTATAATTTACAGTTTTCGCACATTTATGGTTAACATAATTTTATGAATATATTATAAATAAAATATAACTAATAATTTGTATCCATCTAGCCAAAAATATCCTTTTACTATCGCGAGAACTAAGTCACGCGCTCAGCTGTGGCTGTGTGCTGTAATTCAAATATATGTACATATATATTTATATATATATATATGTATGTGTATATGTACATATACTAACAGGGCTCTTAGTCTGTGCTCCGGCTAGTTATGCAGTGTTTAACTTGGCCCAGGGCATTTTGTGGGAAGGAGGCGTCGCATTTTCATTTTCACGCGCCAGCCGCGTAGCTCATTTTCGCCTCAGACAAATGGAAGAAAAGTGAGTACAAAAAATAAATAAAAGCGAAATAAAGTTTCTTTTGGCACATTCTTAATTTCTTGCGTATTTTGTCAAGACAAATTGAATTTTTATGAGCGTCGTCGACGTTAGCTGCAACGAAATCGCAAAAGGCGTTGCCACACAGCGGCTGGAGAGACAGCAGCAGCGGCAGCAGCAGCAGTGAAAACTTTAAACTTTTCTCATCTTGTGAAATTCATTTTATCACAAGTAATTACTTTGTAAATATATGGGGTGGCAGACAATGCAGCAGCCGTCTCCTGGAAGCGCTACGTGGTGTTGCACACGCAGTCTTTTGGCCATTTGAAGAGGGCAATAAAATGTCTGGCGGCGAATAAAAAACTTAAAGATGGCAATATGCAACAAGGAATGCAACTTGAAATCATCAGAATCGTGCAACACCGAATACTCCCAATGAAAACACATTGCAGCAAACTTTGTGGGCGATATTTTTTAACGACTTTCTTAAATTGCATATTTATGTTTTATGGTTTAAGGTTTAAACGAAAAGATTGCGTACAGCTATAATAATGAAATGAAAAAAGCTCCAATAATCTATCTTCTCTCCCAGACTAAACAATTTTCTAACCATGTTTTTTCCAATGCAAAAACTGCAGTTTATCAAACTAAAAATGTGTGCATAGAAACTGTGGTTACTCTAATAAAGTTACACACTATTTTCATAGCAGCTGATTCTATTAAACATATAAAATACAGCCAACAAACAACATACCTTTGATGTTTGCCACTAGCAAACTAACTTGTTTTTAAACAAAAGTATACTGCTTGATTGACGAAATCAAAAAAATTTTGAAATCAAAGTTAAACACTCAATCACCAGCAACAATAAAGCACCTGTTGGGTGACAAAACTTCAGATTATGTTCAATGTGCAGTATTGTATTGCAAAAGAAATATATATATATATATATAATTATGTGGTTTGAATATCAGATGTACAATATATTTACGTTGCTATAGTTTTAGATAAGTTTTTGTTTACGTCTTAGAATCTTATTGACTTATATTTTTACTTGGCAGATGTTTCAACTACAAAAGAGAACTTGAATTTGACCTTCTTCCAAAAACAGCTATGAAAGGAGTGGGATGCTCCGCCCGACATGCTTTCTGCCTGTAACAAAAATATATATCTTAAAAACAGGCAGATGAATATAAACTGCATGGCATATGGGATGTCTCCTCGAAGAAAATAAATTAAATCATGTACAGAATTGAATCACATTCAAACATGCCTTGTCATATTGAAACACGCACATAAATTTATGTCAAGTTTACAGGTTTATTGGTGTTATTGAATGCTCATTGGCAATGCAACTTGTCATTGGGTTTGTCAAACCGCGACAATAATTTGCACAGCCAGCTGAACTGTGTGTCGATGTAAACATTGAACACGTAGCGCACATTGCAGATTAGATTGTGGCGCTTAATCGAAGAGGCCAAAGCCCATGTCATCATCCTCTTCCTCGGATTCGGACTCGGCCTTCTTGGCTTCCTCCTTCTTCTCGGCAGCGCCGCCGCCGCCAGCAGCTGGGGCCGAAGAGGCAGCAGCAGCAGCAAACTTGCTGGGATCCTTGATGTACTCCTTGATGGTGGTTGCCTCCTTGAAGTCCACGTCTGTGGTGGCAGCGATGGCCAACAGATTCTTGAAGCCATTGGCAACGCTGTGCGGGGCCGAAGCGATCGTTGGATAACCAACAGACAAACAGACGGCAGCCAAATTGGCAACGCCCTGTTGGAACTTGGCGCGCAAATCCTCGGGCTTGATGTCCAAGATCTCGGGCGAGAAGATCGAGCCCGAATCGTAAACCTGGCTGACGAGCAGACCGTACGAGAAAGGCGAAATGTTCAACATGTTGAGCAGAGTCGCCTCGGAAGCGCCGACTTTGTCGCCGGGCTTCAAGATGGGCACATCGTTGATGATTTCAATTGTACCCTTGGAAATCTTGGTCGGGATGGACAGAGCCTGGAAGAAACTGGTCTTCTCGGGACCCAGGCCAGTGTTCTGCGCCGGAATGATGACATGCAGCGGTGCAATAGCGCCGGGACGGGCAGGAGCGCGCACCTTCGACTCCAGTAGTTTATCGCGCACCTCGGCCAAATCGCCCTTGGTGAACACAAAGCCCACGTTGCCCTTGATGTGCGGCAACAGCTTCTCCAGCTGTGGATTGTTTTCCAAATGACCACGGATGGCCTTGCGCATCATCGTGTTCTTGCCCATCAGAACGACAGCGAGACCACGCAGACTGGTACGGATGTTCTGCATCTGCTTGGAGCCGACATTGTCAGCGCCCACAATGAAGCACTTTGGGAACTCATCGAATAATTCCTAAAATACATTCATTTTATTACTGAATTCCTTCAAGTGAACAATAATAATTACATACCACAACTTTGACGAAGTATTGAGCCTTCCATGCTGCTTTGTTCTCCCTAACCATTTTGTAGTTGTATTAGGGACTCGTACGAATTTAAGAACTGCAAAATATACAAAAATATCATTGTTAAACTGAACACCACAATTGCAATGCTTGAATTTTCATGTATTTTGTGGAATTACTGTAAGGATGGTACATATTTTTGACGATTTTAATTATTTCACTCACCAAAACACAAACTATACGCGGTGGTGACTTGGACCAAATGGACGAGAAATGCGATAATTCATGCAAAGCTATCGATAATTCCTGCAAAACTATCGGCAACAATTTTGATATTCTGGTAGACAAAAAACTAATATTTTTTGCAAAATATTCAAATATACATCATATATATCTAAAAGTTTATTATATTATCATTTTATTATTATTAATTTATTATATGTAACATCGATAGAATATTATTCGAAGTGACAAGGTCACACAGTTATGTGTTGGAAAATGCGCCGTCGAGCAGCTGTGAATAATACATTTGCAATATCGATAGTTATTTTGACAAAACTTGTAAGCTATACTTAAGCTCTCTGCAAATCAAACTGTGCAACAAACAAGACTTGGATTTCCAATATTCAAGTGCAGAACATTCATGCAATAAGCGGCGTCTTAGGAAGAAATACCTAAGGGGCTTTAAAGAACAAACAAAATACAACGCATCCGATTTAGAGTCCAATTGAATTTCACAATGGGCAAAGACTATTATAATATTCTGGGTATCAAAAGGACGGCAAATGATCATGAAATCAAAAAAGGCTATAAGCGAATGGCGCTCAAGTACCATCCCGATAAAAATGATCATCCACAGGCAGCCGAGCGTTTCCAGGAGGTTGCCGCTGCATTCGAGGTGCTCTCAAACAAAGAAAAGCGCGAAGTCTACGACAAATATGGCGAAGAAGGGCTCAAAAACGGCACCGAGCAAGAGGATTATGCACAGCCATCATCGGACATGCTGCCATTTATGTGTGCAGTCGGAGGCACTGTTTTGTTCGCTTTCGCGGCATTCAAGACATTTCAATATTTTACCAAGAAGAAGGATTCCGGACGCGAAAGTGATTCGTCTTCGGAGTGACGGACATTAATTGTTATCGAATTTAGGCGTCCAGCGACTCCATGTTAACAAATTGTTTGAATTGTGAATACATTTTATATTTGACTTATTAAATTATTATTATCAACAATTAGAGTACTAGCTACAATGTACACGAATCGATATATTTTAATTGCTTATCTTTTATCATTGGCATTACTGCTGGCCTATTGCTAAAATAAATCGGTGAATTCCCATAATTTATTTGCTTGTTATCAATTCAACAGACAGTCATTTCTCGTATATATAAGGCACAATTTCTTCAATTCTTCACAGAGAAGGAAACGCCAGTCTTTGATACAGTTCTTCTGCACATATCAAGGATAAATTCAACTTAAAAAATGCAACAATAATTCCAGAATGGAGTCGTCATTTCAATACATTGGTTATATAACTAACTCTATCGTGTGTATTGTGGGATTCTTCCAATTGTTCTCGTATTTCAAGAACGTAAAAAAGTAGAAATCGACTACTACATACTATATATATACTATATATACGTACTGTAAATGTTGGTTGATTTACAATAAAAGTATATTATCGCAGATGTTTTCAGCGATTAGTGCCTCCTTCAGCATTATCAATTGCATTTTTATTTCAATTGTCAGAGCGCATTTCTCTCTTTGACAAACAAAGAAAGAGAATACCGACCTAATGACTAAGATTGTGTATATTGTAGGCGAATCTTTTATTATCTTATGAAAATTTTCAAATGGGAAAGTCTCTATCTGTTCGAGATGAGATCAATTGTAAGCATAACAAATTATTGAGTATAAATAAAAACAATTTTCAAAAGACCAACACTCCAGTATTTAATAACTGTTAATAATGTTAACAACTGTTATACGCGATGACAGTATTTAAAGAATAATTAAATATCGATAGCATCGCATTGCAGTTTAGCATCCCTGGTTTGTTAGTGTGAGAGCGAGATGCATTGAACGAGAGCGTTTAAAACACTGAAAACCGTACCAAAAAATTGCCACGAAGAACAGAACTCATTTTAGTGGCGCATCATAATTAAACAAATTAAAGCTGTACTGTCAGCCCATTAAAAAAGTCACAACTTCATATTTGTTGCTTAACATTTAAAGAACAATGGGCTCAAATCACAGTGTTCATGTGCCCGGTGGTGGCACCGAAGGTAAATATACATACGTAAACTGTGTAACAATTAATGCAGAAGAAGAGAAGCCCGAGCACCAATCAAATGCATACACGCACACACACACGTAAACGTAGCAATTGTTAAATAAACATGCAATATTTTTTTTTCATTTGACAACATTAATATAGGCTACCACGTACTCAAAGTGCAAGACAACTCACCGGGACAGAAGGCCGGCCTCGAGGCATTCTTTGACTTCATTGTGGCCATAGCTGGCACTCGTCTCGATCAGGACAATGATATGCTGAAGGAACTGCTGCGTCAGAATGTTGACAAGCCCGTCCGCATCACCGTCTACTCGAGCAAAACACAAACGGTGCGCGAGCTGACATTGACGCCCAGCACCAGCTGGGGCGGCCAAGGACTGCTCGGCGTCAGCATACGTTTCTGTTCGTTTGAGGGGGCCAACGAGAGCGTCTGGCACATCCTGGAGGTGCATCCCAATTCGCCCGCTGAACTGGCTGGCTTGCGTGCTTACAGCGACTATGTGATTGGCGCCGATGCCATACGGCATGAGAACGATGATCTCTTCACACTGATCGAGACCCACGAACAGCAGCCGCTCAAGATGTATGTGTATAACTTGGATGATGATGCGTGCCGCGAGGTGACCATTAAGCCAAACACCGCCTGGGGCGGCGAGGGTGCGCTCGGCTGTGGCATTGGCTATGGCTATTTGCATCGCATACCCGTACAGCAGCAGGCACCAGCGACGGCGCCACCAGCAACGGCAACATCCTCGTCAACATCAACATCCGTGGCAACATCAAATAATGCCGTTGCAACGTCGTTGCCCGTCGGTCAGACGGCGGCAGCGAATGCAGCTGTTGTTGCACCCACATTGCCTTATATACCGCCGCTAGCAAATACATTTGGGTCCACGAATGCCGAGCCGCCGACGCAGAGCGTCTTCAAGACCTACTTCAATCCCGATGATGGCACAGATGCATTAAGCGCTGCTCTCGAGACGCAAGCTACGCTGAATCAGCCGCCAGTCGCAGCCGCAGAGCTGATTGCGCTACCACCTGCTGCAGTTCCAGCTGTTGTTCCAGCTGAACCTGCACCTGCATCGGCAACTGCACCGGTTCAGCCCGTTCCACCGCCAGCTAACATTTATATACCCGGCGTTTTCGATGGCAACGTTGGCGGCATACCAGCTGCTCAATTACCGTTTCCACAGGCGACAACGGCCACAATGCCAGCGCCAGCTGTGCCCATGTTCTCCATGGCCGCACTGCCGCAACAACAACAATTGCAGCAGCAGCAGCACCTGCAACAACATCAGCAACATCATCAAATTTATATGTCTGCACCGGCGACACTTTCGTATCCGGCTGCCGGTGCCGCTGCCCAGACAGTGCCTACGTATCCACAGGTGCAGCCATCAATGGGTGGACTATTTCCCACGCAGCCGACACCGTTGCCACCGCAAATGGCGCACGTCTTCACACAGCCACAACAGCAGGAACAGCAACAGTTGCAATCACAACAAACGCCACCGGTAGCAGCATCGGCCACAACATCAAGTGCTTGAGCCCAACAACAACAGTAACTGACAACAACTGGACAACAACAACAGCTAACAACTAACTATAACTGAAGTTAATTAACTTGAATTGTATTTCTCTGCGACTCTGTTAAGTTTATCATGTGATGATTCTGTTTTTTAATGATTCTGATTGCAATGTTTCGAAATCACAAGTGACAAACTGTCAAACAAATTGCATTAATAAATAATACAATATATATATAAATACTATGCATTCAATATATATATATATATTATATATAGTACATATACTGAAAAGTGGAAATTGTAACATATGGTTTAATTTTGTGTATCTGCTGCCCAACCATTTTGTGTCCTGAATAATGTTTTTCTTATTTATCTAGCTTTATCTTCTGTTGCATATAGAAAATATAACATTTTTTACACATTTTGTTTGTTCTTCAATCAAATACCTTTTTAATAAAAATATAGTATTCTACTTTTCATATATAGATATATATATATTTTTTTTTTTGTGGTTTAGTTAAAATGCGAAGCTGAACGAATGCATTTAACCGGATATTAGATAAGGCAAACAAAAATATTTAAGAACTTTAAAAATATGATCAAATGATTGTAGATGCTTTCTTTTCGTATTTTTGATTTTCTATCCATGGTCGATAACTGTCTGGCTAAAGTCAAATTTATACCTGGATAATAGAATCATTGTGTGTGTTGTGGTGTAAGTAAATTATAGATATATATTTAGCTTTGAATTTATTTATGTATGACATTTGCATTAATTGCCGATGTTGGGGGAGGTTTAGGTTTAATGGGCGACATTTCTAAATATTGCCTTAAAGAATAGAACTTGCGACAAGAAAAGAGTTAAACTACTTGACAAAATTGGGATTCTTCTTCAGTATGACAAATCCCTCCATGACGGGCGTTAGCGAGATGTACTCATCTGTGGCCAGCTCGGCGCGTTCACCAATTGCCAGCAGAACGGGCGTGGTATGGGTCTGGAAGCCAGTGATGGTCTTCGGTTTTCCAGCTTGGCCAACCACATCGATGGCGATGCCAACGCGAACGGGCACCTGCAGCTGATTGAGCTCCTCATCGAAGGTGATCAGCATGCGTGCCTGCATGGCTGGCACCAGAGTGTACAGCAGATAATGGGAACGATTCAGGATTAGATTCTTCACGTCCAGCAGTGAGACCAATGTGGCCATCAGACCAGCAACAGCCATCGGATTCATCAGCTGTCGATCACTATGATACGGACTGAGCGAGAGGGTGCCCTTGCCCAGATGCGTCAAACTCTGGGCGATGCGCACCATGAACAAATTGCTCGGATCCTTCGAGTGATATTGGGCCAGCTGGCGCAGCATCGAGGCGAGACGCGCATTGTTGGTGCCCGCACCGACCAGGCCCATGGCAAAGATGGCATTGTGTGCCACCTCGGCATCGCTGTCGTGCGAGAATTTACTCAGCGTGTCCAGTATGTTCAGCTTGGGATTGGAGGCGGATATCAGGCCGAGGGCCAATGGCACCGCACGCCGGATAGCCGGCTCGCAGTAGCGCAACAGATTGCCAAACGAGCGATATGCCATCTCGGCACCAATGTCCTCGCCCATGGCAATCAGAGCAATGCCCAGGACAGCGATCGATTGTGTGGCCGACAGATCTTTCTCGCGCTCCTTTTCCTTCTCCTTCTCCTTCTCTTTCTCCTTCTCCTTGTCCTTCTCCTGCAATTAAAAGCGAGTTCGAAAATAAGCCAGTCAAGAATCTTATGTGATAATTACCTTCTCCTTGCCCTTGTCCTTCTTGCCCTTCTCCTTCTCCTCATCGGCTGGGACGGTCTCATAGTGATCGGAACAAATGTGGAGCAGCTGTTGAATTTTGAGGACATTACCAGTGCCGGCATAGGCACATATATCGACCATAGTGGTGGCCATGCTGCGATACGGCTCCTCCAGCACCTCGAGTGTCATCATCACAGCCTCCGTTGACTTCTGCCTGCCCAAATAGAGCAGACCCAGGCCCAGCCAAAGGAAACGGGTATAGGTATCCTTCAGATCCGACTTGGTCAGACCCATAATTGTTTGCAGCAAGATCTCCGTAATTTCTGCGTTACACGAGCCAACACTTATCAGACCCAGCGATAGAGCCGTTACGCCCAAAATCTCAACATTGGCAGCCGTTTTGCCATTGCTGGCAAATATCGTTTTCAGGGTATCGATGACAATGGCTCGATTGGAGCCGGCATAGGCAATGCCCAGGCCCAATATGGCGCCAATGCGCATGCAACTATTCTGATTATCAATATAATCGGAGAGCAGGGCATGTGCCGGATCCACCTCGTTGCGGATGCCACAATTGACGATGCCGCAGGCGAGCAAAGCGCCCGACTTGATGTTGTCATCGGTGGAATACAAATATTTATCAATCATTGTCAGACCACCATCGACATCCCAAAGGAGAATGAGACCCAATGAGGCAGTGGCCGATAGCATGCCATGCTCCTTGTTCTTATACAGCCACTTGTTGCCATCCTCCGAGAGCAGTTTGTCGACACCAAAGCCAGCATTGACAAAACCATTGACAAAGCTGGCGGCCAAATTCTGTTTGGCCGAATCCACCTGAATGGAGGCGAAACGGGAACGTGAATTATCCAAATGGGACTTGTAAATATCTTCGGGCGTCTTTGGCTCCATGATGTCCAGCTCACGGGCCAGATTCAAGAAATGCTTATTCAAATTCGCATTGGACATGATCTCCATGAGGTCATCATAGTCGGACACAGACTCATCCAGCTCGATGCAGACCTGCTGGCGGGCGAGCATGAAAGCCAATTGCTTCTGCATTGCCGGCTCCTTGGGCTCCTTGAATATTTCACCAATCTTGCCCATATCGTTAAGCATCAATGCCAGCCGCATGGCCTGAGTATGCTGTTGGAATTTGCGTGCCAACTGCAGTGCCGTCTCCAGGATGATGGTATTATCCGGTTCGGGTACGTATGGATAGCAGGACTGCAGATAGAGGCAGACGCGTGGATATGCCGACTCATCGACATAGTCGGCCAGCAGATGCAAATGATCGATCTCGATGAGCAGGTCGCAGGCATCCGCCTCCGCATTATGCTCCATATTATAGGGAATTATCTGCTTGACTAGCTCGATGAGCTGCGTCCGAAAGTCGCCAGTGGTGTCGTGATAGTGTGCGGATATTTCACCCGAAAGATGGCGCACATACTCGTGGCCCCAGTCACCGATAGTTTGGGTGCGATCGCAGAGGAAACGATAGGCGAGACAATCCTTGCCACTGCCCATGGTCATTGAGAGCACCGAGATGATGTCGGCGCACAGTTGGCGCGACCGCTCGTCGGGCATGTGCTTGTACACAGTTTTCATGGTCTCGTAGTGGGGACGCATGAATTTCAGTGGTTTGGGCACCGATGTCATCGATGTGGTCGACGCTCGGATCAGTTTGGCCATCATCTCTAGCGCTGGCTGATACAGCTGCTTGTCGTTCTCCGTGAGGCGCTGCACCAGCATCTCCAGCTCCTCCTGTAACTGCTGATCCTCGTCGGACAGCTCCGGTTGCTGTTCTTTTTCATCCTTTTTGCCAGCTTTGCCCGTTTTGCCCGCTTCCTGCCCCTCGCCTTGCGACGCTTGCTTGCCCTTTGCGTCTTTGGCATCGCCGAGCAGCGGCTGCTTTTTCTCCTGCTTCGTTTCACCAGTCATGCCGCAGTGCTTTCTTCAACGTTTACAAATATATATATATAAAAAATTTCTTTTTTATTTTAATAATTCGTCGTTCGCTTTTCTATACGTCTATTCCCTTTTGCTTTTCTTTACTACTCAGCAGAATTACAAAGCGCTTTTTGAGCTGTCAAACGCACGAGTTGCCAACCAATTGAATTTAGTGATGTGAGTCACATCGACTTGCCTAATCGATATTTATTATGTGTGTGCCGTATATGCCGAATCGCAAACTTTTGCAGCACTCTGTGCTTCCCAACACTGTCCGCATATTTAAACACATGTTTTGATTGTCGTTTTGCATTTATTTTGCGGCAATTTAAACAAAAAGAATGCTCCGCATAACACAAACGAAAAACACTTTACTCGATGGCGCCACAATTGCCGAGCAACTGTACGCCACGCCCAAGGACTGCGAGCAGTTCTTCGAGAGCATTGAAAAGCCCACAGAGTTGGTTGTCGCTCCACGTTCCACTTGTGAGTATTCAGCTTGTTTTTAAATCTCTTGAACTGAGTTCTTTTATTCATAGTTATACGCGCCGGGGTGCTGACCACGGTGCGCGGATCTGCATACATGGAGTATGGCAATACGAAGATGATGGCCATTGTGGCACCACCACGCGAACTGGTCCGCTCCAGTGCGGGTCGCGTCAACATGGGCGTCCTCAATTGCTATGTGAATTTTGCGGCCTTTGCCAGTGGGGAGTTGGCATCGCTACCAGAGCGGGAGAAACACTTGGGCAGCATGCTCACCAAGGCACTGGAGCCGCTCGTCTGTCGCAACGAGTTCCTCAACTTTCAACTGGACATCCGAGTGCTCATCTTGGATGACGATGGCTGCCTGCTGAGCACTGCGATCAATTGCTGTGGCGTCGCACTGGTTGAATGCGGCATCTCCACGTATGATTTGATAGCCGCCTCCACGGCATGCATCTATCGCGACCAAGTGTTTCTCAATCCCAGTGCCAAGGTGGAGGAACTACTTTGGCAGCATCGAGGCGGGAATGCGCTACTGGGCAGCAGCAGCAGCAGCAAAAAAGATGAAAAGGCTGCCACAATTCAGGAGTATGGCCTGCTCATCAATGCCAGCATGGACAGCTTTGAGCAGCTGGCGCAGTGCCAGCAGTGTGGCTACCTCAAGCCCGAGACCTATGTGAGACTGCTCGACTACACGCTCCAGATTAACAAATCGCTGCGTGAGCTCATCAAACGTGTGCTTACGGAACGGGTCAAGGAGCAGCATGTGCTGGATATGCGTGAGCGGGACGAGGAGCGGTTGGAGGATGAGCGACTGGCGACGATTATTGAGAGACTGCAACAGCAGGGCCTCAACGAGTTCATCCAGTCCAATATCAAAGAGGATCCCTATACGAAAAAATAAAAGTTGTACCTAAAACTGAATGCTTCTAATTTGAATTTTAGGAGGAGCAACAGAATCCCCTCCAGGATTGAGGAACACCCACTTTTTTGTACATAAAACTGAATTGTTTGTAATTTTAGGCTTAAATATCTAAAGTTTTTTTCAACAAAATTTCGTGATCTAAAATGCTGGGAATTGACTGGGAATTCCTGCGTATGCCTTGCTACTGCTGATCCGCGGATGCTTCGAGCACGGCGCCCGAATAGGCCAGATCCCAGTAGTGCTCCACCTGATGTTTCTGAAAGAATTCGCGTGCCATTTTCTCCATGGGAAAGATTTTGAATTTGATTTCGCCAAAATGGCGACGCTGACTGGTGCCCTCCCAGACGAGGACACAAGTATTGGCCACATCCTGACCATCGTTGCCCTTGACCACGTCCTCCTCCCACTTGATGCGATGCAGCATCAGGCGGCGATATTTCTTCTGCTGCTTCGGGCCACCCTCGACGACGACAACACAGCAATCACGAAAGAGCGCCACGCTGCCCGTCATCTGCAATTGCTTCGCATTCGTCTCCACTTTGTACTTTTTGCTCTGATTGTCCTGCAGGTCACGGATGCGATAGACGCTCACATGGACACCGCAGCTGGTGTCCTCCTTCAGTTTGCGTTGCTTCTTCTCGCTCTTCTGTTCGCTGGTCAATTTGCGCGCATTATTGGCATCCTCGTGCGCCTTCTGCCGCTTGGCCATCTGTTCGCGTACATGCGCCTCGATCTTGGTCGGATCCTGCACGGCATCCGTGCCCAGCACACGCATCAGATTCGAGATGCGCAACTTGGGCTCGGGCGGCGCCGCGAGACCCAAGCGTATCTTCTCCTGCTCCTCCTTCCAGGCCTCTCGGCGATTCTGGCGACGCAACTTTTTGCGCTCCTTTTTGGTCAAGAAGACGGGCAAATAGACGGGCTTCAGTGGCTCATCTGGAAAGGGAATCATTATCATTAATTGAGAATAGATAGTTGCTGATGGTCTACTCACTTGGCGGCTTCATTTGTGTGGGATGCTCGATGAGATTACTGATGGCCGTTTGACGTATGCTAATCTTGCCGCTCGCCTCATCCACCGTCTGCAGATCCTGGCTGAGTATGACCGAATCCCACCACTCCATTGCTGGCACATCGTCGGGCATGTCCTGTTTGGGCGCAATCAGTGCCAGTTTCGTCGCGGACGAGATGCCTGTCTTCCTGGCGATCTGCGAAATCTCATTCTGCAGCCGCTCCAGCTGCGACTTCATGCGCATCCGCTCGGCCAGCTGCTGGAATTTGCCGGGCTCGTGGAAGCGCAACATGCGCTTATTGCGCACCGTCGGCTTCAGAGCGATGCGCTCATCGAAATACTGTGCCGCATCATCCTGCGCAGCGCCAGCACCAGCACCACTGTGACTGTGACTATGGCTGCCGCCCGCCTCGTTGCCCGTCGTCTGTCGCTGGAACACCTCGCGCTTCTTGGCGCGTATGTTCGCCTTGAGCGTGGGCGTCACTGTGGGTATATTGATGGCACGTCCACTCTTATCCACGGTGCGTCCCTCATCGTCCAGGATCAACGGTTTGGGTCGCTCCTGCTGTTGCTGGGCGGCAGCGGCAGCAGCAGCTGCAACCGCCGTTGGCTGCTGCTGTATAAGATTGGCCAAATTGCCCGTTAGCTTGGCGCGTATCTGCGCCTGCAATTCGGCAATCTTCTTCGCCTTATCCGAATCCTCGGGCGTTGGCTTCTTCGCCAGCGCCTGCGTTGCCCGTGCGACGGACATACCGATCTGGGGCAGTGATGCCAGCTCTGGATCCTTGTCGCGCAGATTGCTCAACGCCCGTTTGCGCTCCTCAATCTCGCGCTGCGCATGCGCCATCATCAGCTTGATTTGTGTCGAGCTTATCGAGGCGGAGGAGGAGGTGGAAACGTCGGGCAGGGTGCTGGGTAAGGGTATGCTAGCGCCATTCGATTGCTTGACATCGAAACGCGACTTCTTGGGTGCAGTGGCAGCAGCAGCAGCCACATCGAGGCCGACATCGTTGGAGACAGCGCTGCGTTTGTTTGCCGATGCTGAAGCTGATTTCGTTTTGTGTTCGTCGGCATTTTCGGCGCTTTCGGCATCCTTCCGCGTTATAATGGACGACATAATATTCGCAATTAAATTGATCTGGCTAAAGACTTGTTATGTTATTTACCAAAAACTTTTGCACATTCCGCTAAATCCGCAATGCTTTTTTCTTTTTGTATTTTTGTTATAGCTATTCTTGAATTGTATTTGCAAAAACGTTTGCGAGAAAAATTTCTTTGGCAATAAAGACGGGGTTGTTTTCTTCTTCTGCCCACTGAGTCTGACAGTTGGCGCTGCTTTGCCCAGCCCTGAGCTAGTTCATTCGAGCTGGATTTGGAGTTGAAAAAACTCTTGAGTGCAAAAACATGTGCAAGTATTGCATTGTCTTTAAATGATTTAACAGCACTGGTAAAGCCATTTAAAATTGAACAGTAGCAGGCTATTTACAAATTATTGTTTTAATTGTAATTAAACTATAATCGAATAACCGAACTAAGTTTTACAATTAAGCGAACGAATTTGCTGTTTAATTAAAATAATAAAAGTTAAAAAAAACTAATGAATATGATTTAAGTTGTCTGCACGGCCATATTTGACAACTATTATCACACGATAGTTTTTAAGTTCATATTTATGATTAAGTGCTCTTCACGTAAATTCAAGAATTTATGATAAGTTATCAATTAAAATAACAAGATTTTTAACGATATTTATGCGTCAAATTGTCCATAAATATGTGTGCTGCGCAAACGAAACTTGATTAGGAAACATAATTTTTGGTTTATTAATTATGACCTGGATTGTATTTCGCGTTATGCGAATTAAAACTCTTAAATTTTGCTCGTCACTTTGAATAAAGCTATCGATATGCTCGATATAGTAATCGATAATTTCCCACCTCTATACAGAAGCGTTTTGTCTATTTTTTTTCTCGTCGTGTCTGTGTGTGCTTAATTATTTGTTGTGAAAATTAGGCGCTTTTATTGTGCATAAAACGTTGAAAAATTGCATTTAACCGCAAGCATGGCATCCGAGGAAGAGAATGACGATAATATCCAAGGTGAGTGAAATGTTTTTAACCACATTTAAATGCGCTGAAAATTTTTCGGCACAATACGAATACCGAACCGTGGTCATATTCAAGCGAGCGAGCAGCAGGCGTCAGCGGCTGCCGACGACGTCTCGTTGCCGCTGGCGCGCTGTGCGCTCTTTGCGAGCGATGGGTTTTATTTTTGTTTTCATTTCTTATTCTTCTAGTCATAAGTTAAGTTACATTAACAACACTTAGTGTTTAAGTGGCTGCATTTTGTTACCAATTTTTGTGCAATTTTATGAGTGACGCGCAATGTTTTAACATTTTTCGCCACTCTGTCATTCTACACAAATTTATTATTGCATTTTATATGCTGTGTTTCGCAAATGCAACTCCGGTTTAATATACGGCCGTCTCGCTCGCACGATAAGTATGCTTCTCGCGCAACACAAAACATATGTTTTACACGCTTGTTTTGATCTTTCTTTCTGTTTCGAAAATGAAGGCGCGAAAGAAACTCAATTATATTTATTATTATCACATAAATCGAAGGAAATCAATGTTGATTTGACACAAATAAATATATGCATAGTAAAATAATGCTAATACATTTGAAATTATGTATATGTAGAGAGAGATGAGTTAGCTTGTTTGCTTGGGGGAACACAAGGTTATTCTTAGTGTTTGACTTTTTTCCTTCAGCCAACACGCAAATGACTCATTTCTGAATTATTCAAGGCTTACAATTTTTGTTTGTGTATACTTTTGACATTGTAATATATTGGGTACGTTTATTGTGAGACGTTATCCAGCTCAACTCAAATTGTCTATTACCCAGAAATGTAACTAATATATTAAAGAGGGATTGCTAAGAAAATCACCCGCTTTTATATTAAATATGGCCCTAAAAAATACCAACAACGAACGCAAGTGTTTGCATTCGTTTGCAAAAATATTAGTGGTGTTTTCCACATGCTATATATAGTGTGCTTGTTCTATTGCATACAAATTCGTATGAACACCGAATTTTTAGCCAAAAAGCGTGTGTACACACTGCACTTGCGCGATGTCCAACAGCACTCGCTGCTCACTCTCAGAGCTCTCAAACGCACTCGCAATCGCAACCGATAACGCCGCGTGAAGTGGGCTGCTTTTGGAAATTTTACGATTCATTGTTGCTTGGACGTGGCAGCCATGACGTGATTTCTGACTTTGACTAAGAAAATTTTTTGTTAAAACTTACATTTGTAATTTATAGAAAATTAACTTAAGGGGAATACGTGCATTATATTTAAACCAGCAACAAGAGCTCAATTAAGTGTAAAATAAAAAGTGTGTGTGTGTGAAAACTATTGCAATTAACAAAAAAATACATATATTGTGTAAGAAAAAAAGAGAAAAATAATAAAATACATATATACAAATATACACATACATGTACATAATGTGTACATGTATGCAGAGCATATGCAAAAATAAACGAATAAATATGTGTGCAATATTGATGAAAACACATATTGTCAAATTGATATTCTGGTTTCCGCTTCCCCCGCATCCCGTTGTTGCCGCCGCGTTATACGCAGTTGATTGATTTCTCCACTTTTATGTGTGTGTCTGTGTGTGTTCGTCTCGGGCGGATCGCCGTTTAATCTATATGTTTAAGTGTGACACAGCCACAATTGTGCCACCACTTACATTATGCAGTCCGCCGCCGTTCAATAAATATTTTATACAAGTGTACCCAAATACATACATACAATATATATATACATATACATATTTACGTCTGCCTGTGTAAGTTCACTCGCTTATACGCTGAGTGAGGAGGAAGCTTGTTTGTGTGTGTACTTGTATATGTATGTGCGTATTATGCACGCGCGCCGCCCGCTCCAGCAGCTCTCGTCCTCGCCGTCGCCCCGTCTCGCTCTTGCTCAACCACCAAAAACGTCGTCAGCCAGCCAAACCGCTCTCGATATCGCCTCACCGCCGTCGTCGTTGTCGTCGCAAATCGGCCGCCGTCGCTTTTGTTGTCGCGATTTCAATTAATTTATAAATAATTTTACTTCCAACAACAACAACAAAAAACACAATGTGTATTAATCGGCAGCAATATCAACTTTTGTGTGCAAACCAAAAACGCTTCAACTTCGAAAACAACAACAACAACACCTACTCACAAAAGTAAGCAACAGAGAAGGGTGCGAGAGAGAGAGAGAGAAAAGAGAAGAGAACAGAAATTGTTGGAATGTTGTCAAGAGCAAGAGAAATAACAATGCCGGCTCATCTCTAACAGAAAAAAACAATCAAGGAACGCTCTTCTTTAGCTGCTGCTTTCAGAATTTTCTTTCGATATGTCGACACTGTTGCATTTAAACGGGGGCGGTGTCTGTGTGTAAAAGTTATCCTAGAAATAATCGTACGTGGGCAGCAGATTTTCCAAATCTAAATTTAACATGTGATGTGCGCGCACATCACCTTCTTCATCTACTTGTTGTTGCGGTTCAATTTGCTATCGATAAGGCGTGCCTATCGATAGTCCATATATATGTGCAAATTATAATTAAATATAAAAAAAAAACAATTGAATTTGGTTTCACGTCAGCCAGTGTTGTATTTCCCTCCCTCTTCGCATTTGTCGTCATTCGCATTTCGCAACTAAACATTCCAACAGCTGTTTGTCATCTGAGTATGGTAAGGGGAGGATGATAGCGTGCAAAAGCGACCCAATTCAAGCGAAAAGAAGCCAGAAGCACACAAAAATTCACAAATACATTTGAAAAGCTCTTTCGCCAGCATTAATTTGTATACATTTTTTGTTAATAATATTCATTCATTAATACTACAAAAATAAAATGTGTGCAGATTTTTTTTCTGTTTCTCCACCTCGCAAACATTTGGCATTTCATAAATTGCCGCAAAGCAGCAGCAGCATAAGACAGAAAGAGAGAGTGACACCGGAGACAAAACGTCACGACGTCATCAAAATTGAGCGAGAAAGAGAGCGTCAAGTGGGAGCATACCCCCACTATAGACTGCACTCCTCCACTCTTTTGATATTGTGTAGAATACATATGTATATACTATGGAGGGAGAAAGAGGGAAAGCAGAGACCGTTAAATGAAACTCCATATGCCAGGTGCCAAGTACTTTGACTGACTGACGCATGTAGCTGTTATTTGTTCTCTCTACTCTTTGTGCTTGCGTAAATAATAAGCGCACAACGCTAATAGCGAATTAACTGGCTTATTAACTAAACAGACTAAATCGAATATTAATTTTGCTACATTCGCACACAATTAAAAACATCAACATGTTTACGGCTTAAGGTCAAACGTCAAGTTTTGATTACTATTTACATACAGTGTCTCGCAGTTAAACTGGAACAGCGCCTAGCAAAATATTTAAAGTGCTATAAGGTTTAAACAAAACAATAAACGCAAAATGTTTAAATGCCAATTTGTTTTATGTTATATCACGTTTGAAAAGGAAGCTTCAGTTTTTATTAAAATATTAAATAATTAACTAAAATTAGTCAAAACTTAAAACTTATCCAAAATACATGTCAAAGTTTTTTTGGAACAGTCTTAGAAAATTAACTTATTAGGCGTATAAAAACTTAAATAAGGATCTTAATACTTAGTATGATACCCCTTAGCCTTAATAACCTCCCTTAACCTATTATTCATGGAAGATACCAGCTTCCGGGTGGTTTCTGGACTGACTTTGCTCCACTCATCCAGCAGAGCATTTTTGAGATCGGATCTGTGATTCCTGATGTTATTTTCCAGCAGAGCCCACAAATTTTAAATAACATTTAAATCTGGAGACTGGGCCTGTGGAATTATCGTGTGGGGGCAGTTCCAGATATGCCAGGAGTGTACTAATCCGGACTTATGCTTGGCTTTTGTCCTGGTCGTTGTCGTGGTAGAACCGGAAAGTACGTCGGATTCCTAGCTTCTTGGCACTTTGGAGTAAATTTTCCTTTAATATATTGAAATACACACTCTTGTCCATTGTTGTTTCAAAAAACACCAAATTCCCGACGCCGGCTGCCGAGATACATGCCCATACCATGACACTTCCTCCGTCGTGCTTGACTGTTGCCTTTAGGATTTTGGGACTCAGCTCAGTATTGGACTGTCGCCACATATAATTCCGTCCGTCCGAGCAAAAAATGTTGAATTTGGACTCATCTGCAAATATGACTGTGTTCCAGAACTCCAAATCCTTGTCCAAGTGGGTTTTGACGAATGACATCCTAGTCCCTTTATTTTTTGCGCTTATAAAGGGCTTCTTCCGTGGTACTCGGGCATTAAAGTCATGGTTGTGCAGAACCCGGCGCACAATTTCCATACTGCACTTTTGCCCCATTTCGTCCTACACCTGTTGAGTCAGTTTTGGAGCCGATAGCTTGTGATTTTCCATTATTTTCCTGATGATCGTCCGCTCCTCCTGTTCGGTGAAAATCTTGTTTGGTGCATTTCTGCCCTTGTCCTCTATCCGATTTTCGTCGACGAAGAGTCGAATGATGTTGAATACAGTGGTGGTACTCAGATTTACCATTTTAGCTATTTGGCGATGTGAAAATCCAATCTTGAAGTGTTCCAGGATGAGATTACGTTGCCCAATGGTAGTCCGTTTGTCAATAGTCCTTGTTGGCTGGTGGAACCCGAGATGCAGGATATAAATATACTGACTACGAAGGATAGGTCTATTTATACCGAAAATAATCAACCTGACGTAAAAAATCCGGGTTTTATGGCACCCAGGTGTCCATAACGCCCTTGTTCCACATAATATGTGACCATAAATTAAGGTACTTTTTTACATAACCCGGCCTAGCCGATGGGAAAACCCCAGTTTATGGGGGTCATATAGTCATTTAGGTAGTAAATATATGTACCTACCATCGGTCTTTGGAATTTTTGAAAAATATTGAATAATTTGTTTATGGCAGGCAATTAACTTTTTTGCTAGGCGCTGTTCCAGTTGAGCTGCGAGACACTGTATATTGGACTGCAAGAATATTGAGTAGCTAGTGACATTTTTTCATTTGCAATAACCCAATTACAAATGCACATCTCGATCACATTACACACACACATATATGCACTTTTTTCTTGCCCACCTTTGTGTCGTATTTGTTTGTTTGTATGTGTGGACACTCTGGTTTTCTATAATTTGTATTTTCGCTCACTGTTGCTGAGGGCCCTAACATAACGACACACACATATATATATAAACATGTATGTGTATGCACATACATACATATAAACGCAGACAACTTGCATAAATCTGTTGAAAAAAAAAAAACAAAATATAAAGACTACAACAAAAACATGAGCGTGGCGCCCCCCAACCAAAATAAAATTCAATACAAGAAGTGAAAGTATTGTGTCTATGCCTCTGTGTGTGTATTTGTATATATATATATATATATTTATGTGTGTGTGTGTGTGTGTGTGCGAGGTGTGCGTGTGTATTTGTCGATCTTGCCTTGCTTTTGGGAATGCGCGAGAGAAGAGTAAGTAGCCGATAGTCGTGCATGCTGATGCTATCACGCTCGCACATATTGCATTTAATTATGCCAAAACAAGAAGCAGCCAACAACAACAACAAGTGGTGGTCCACGTATTTGTATGCTTACAGTTGGCATTTAAAAAATGTATTTGCTCTTAAATCTAAAAACAAAAAAAAACCAGTTGTCAATACGGATAATCCAACAGTTTATGCTGACACTAGCAAATATTAAATTGAGATTGTTTTTTGTTTTTCTTTTCTTCAAAACGACGCTTGCTTTGCCATATTTCTCGTCAAATATTCTGTGTCTGTCCAGCTCGTCCGTTCTTACCCTAGTTCAAAGAGCGGCTCTCTCGCAACGTTGGAGACACTGTTCATTTTGGTATTTAACGCGAATCTGTGCTGACGGTGTGTTTGTGTGGTTGTATGTGTGTGCTCTTAAATTGCTTTTGTGTTGTTGTTGTTGAGCACAAGTACACAAAAAATACAATGAGACAGTCTGTCGGATATTGTTGTGTTTGTTGTGCATGCGAATGAAATCGGCAGCGTTTGACATTGATTACCGTAATACCTTGTATACTTGTGTATGTATGTGTGTGTGTGCGCTGGTGGCTGCTTTATATATATATATGTATATATATTTGTGCAAATGCGCGCTGTTGTCTTTTTCACCTATTTACTGTAATTGTGTGTTGCTCGATCCGATCACGAGCGGAGAAGGAGAAGGCCGTATCGCTTCTCGGCATTTGTATGTGTATATTTAAATACATGAGTCTCAGTTGATTTGCCACACATTTATATATACACATGTGCTTGTATGTATGTTGCATATGTTTATAGAGGGGTGCCCTCAACTGGCTCTAGTGCGCATTATGACAGATAGATAGATATATACTTTTTTTTTAAAACATGCATGTGAAATTTATTTAATAATTAAATATGTGCAAAAATTGTTGCATTTACATGATGTTTTATTGTTGCAACGAATACGTTGATTCTCTCAGTGTGCTTTGCTTTGGCCCCAGCCCTCTACACACAACAAAAAAAAAGAGGTGAAAGTGAAGGTCATTAATATTTGCATATGGGAATATTTGCTCATTGAGAGTGCACGAGTCTGATAAAAATAACGAAAATGCCAAAAACTTCAATATGCTCATACATATGTATGTATATATTTATATGTGTGTTTGTATGCTGCTGCTACTGCCTCTTTACCGTAGGCCTGTCTGTTTGACAGTTTTGGTCGCCATTGTGGTTTTGCACGCTCTCACCAC